TACGGGGACGCGTTCGGTTGATAGATGTCCCCACCACAGCCCTGCGAACTTCCATAGACAAAGTCCGGGACTTTGAAAAATACAACTTTTTTAATGAAATAACATGCCCAGGTACCAAAAATGATGATCGATCACCAGATATATCCAGAACTCCCAGTTCGGAGTCCAATTGTGGATGAAATCGGCTACTTTGCCCTAAAAACAAACACATTCTCTTGCGTGAATGAAATTAAAAATATAATAATTTCTCCGGTACCGACGCGTTTACATTTTGTCCGTCTTTACTAGTCGCTTTTTAAAGACATTTCAGTTTCAGATAACTTTGTAATGGTTGTTACGGATAACTATCGTCATTTCAACTGATTTCGGCTGGGAAACTACTTATTTTTAACTTGCGCACCAATTACGGTGCGCTCCCGGACTTTGTCTATGGAGGTACGCTGGGCTGTGGTGGGAACATCTATCAACCGAACGCGTCCCTGTACACACAGCACTGTACGCAGGGTTAACATGTAGCTAGCAAGTTGAAATGTTGATATTGATTCCAACTGTAGGTGTCAATCAATAAAAAAAAAAAATTTAAATTTACAAAAAACATAAAAGTTAAGTTTCAGTTAAATAAATGACAACATAAAACTGGGTTTGAATGCGTTTCCATAGAAACTATGAGGTTTTGTTCTTCCAATCGTGTTTTGAATTGAAAATTATTGCTCAACAGTTGATCATAATTCTAAAACAATTTTGTCTTTTTTGGTCTTTGACCCTCAATTCAGCAAAATTTCAGGAAATTGTTTGACTTAAAGGGCACTTTTCGGGTTGCAGCAGTGCATTATGGGAACCGTAATTTGAATGGCCCGCTCATGGTTTTACTATGTATACAAACTCAGATGTATTAATCATGTGTGCTAATATCTTAGGCATGTTTTTATCGTCCTTAAAAAGTTGCATTGTCTGAATTGGAATTAACACTGGATTTGAAAGAAAACCTGTGATTGTTATACATTTGGAAAACACTGTTTTAATAATGCGTTCTTGTCAACTGTTAATTACACTTAAATCTTGCCAAGTATCGGTAGTAGTTAACTAAAATCAAAATCCTATTATACAAATAATCATTTGTATGCGATTGAAAAATAAAGTACTTCATGCATTCTGGTTCTTGAAAATAGTCATTTGACTGAACACTTCAATCAAATCCATCATCATGGAGTGTGATTGGTATACTAATTTGAAAACGGTTTCTTTATACACCAGGAGCTGTGGTTTAAGACACATCCTGTATGGCATAGTGTTACCAGTGAATTGCCATGATGCATTAGGAAGTGATACATTTAATGATACATGCGTTGGGAATGCAGAAATGAGGAAATTGAACATAACATGTCTGTGCAACCTCAAGTTACATCTCTATAGTTTCTTATGTTGCTCTGTACTGAACTCACTCATTGGTGGGTTACTTTGCTTCATGTGGAGGAAGCCCTTTCAATAACTGATTATGGCAGTTGACCTAAATTTTGGTAACTATAGAGGGCAGTCTTCTAAAGTATAACTTTTAATATATGACATTCTTGGAACTTTGGCTATTACTGTGAAATCTGTATTAGAATGGTACAATGCAACAGAGAGGGATGCGGTTTCTATTAGAGAATCTACACATATGAGAAATGGTAAATTGTTCAAAAAAAAGTATGGGTAGAACTTCTATTATTAGGGATGTGGCTTCTGATACAGATTTAACGGCATTGGTATATGCAGGAGGCGGAGGAAGGTGGGGGATTCTGATCTTTGTTGATTATAGTAAAAGTAATTTCTGATTATTGCCTACCATAGTGAAGAGGGGCTTCTGAACTTTTGTTTTTCTGAACTCATTGATAGAGGGCGTCCTTGCTATACTTATAGGGGATGTGCCCCATATTTCCACCTGTTCATGCATAGGGGATATGAATAATTAAACATGCGCACAGCAAACTTTATCTCCTCATTCAACATTCACCTCTCCATCCTATAAGAAAGTGCCAAAGAATGGAACAAACATTAAAAATATGAAGTAATTGAAATCACTTTCATGCCCTTCCTGATTACGTTTGGTGTGCTGTTTTAATTACCGATCCCCCCCCCAGGGGGGGGGTGTAATCGATTCTATTCTCAAGTATACAGAGTATCCTGTACTAAATTTCTGAATTTTCATGAAAGCTGAACTAAACATGACTGTATTGATATGGACAACATGTTTAGTTTCCCCCAACAAAAACAACTATGTAAATATGTTTTTACTTCGCTGTGAATTGTGGCAAAAATGGGCAAATTATAACAAAACATGTTTATTGAAAGAAAAAAATGAAAATGTACCATTATAATGTTAGATTTAGTAGACTGTGACTGTTTCTCTCCTGAGTACTGAACCATATTCATGTTTGGGATTATGCGGCCATCAAAGGTCATGCAAAGTCACTTCCATAAGTTAATGAATCTTGGCCAGTGAATTTAGCCTTTCTATTGAAACTCTGGCACACTCACCCAGGTAAGGGGGCTGATCACTTTTTAGGTGTTCAGCCCAAGGTAGGATTTGAACTTGGGTTTACCATTCATAAGTCTGATGCAACAACTACTATGTGAACTGCGATCATTCCTAAGAACTTAATAACTGTGTTTGTTTCCTTTCAGATGAAAATATTGCTAGTGAAGTAAACAAAACAAGATTAGGGCCCAAAGATTTTGAGATTGTTAAAGTAATAGGAAGAGGAGCATTCGGAGAAGTACAGCTGGTAAGAATTTCAGTTTAATGTGCTGTCAAGGATTTATAAGATGAGACAATGCCAGTGTTTGAAATTTGTCAAAATTGTTTACTAGACAACAGGGCATGTAACTTTAAAAACTTGCCTGCCCTGCTAAAAGTTTACCAGCTCTGTTTATGTTTTCAATATTTTATTCATTTCCAATCATTTCACTACATTTTATCTGATTCATGAGTGAGCATCTACATCAGCCAATCTAGTAACATTGGATGCCTCCACTACTCCCTGTGCAGTGCATCTTGTTGCTGTCCCCTTCTCTACTACCTCATCTAGCAGTTGTTGAAGTTTTCTTTCTCTTGCCTTCCATAAATTGGGACTTTCTATGATGATGTTTATTCCATTGATGAATTACAGCATTTGACTGAACATTTTCAAAATATAGTGTAAAAGCACAGAGCAAAATAATGTGTCAACTCCAGCTCTGAAAAGGTCCGGCCAACTTGAACTCTCGCATATTTTCGAATCACACATAGTGTGAGAGTTCGCTAAATCATGCATCGTTCATGGATTGTTGTTATTTTTACCCGTTTTACATGTTGCATGTGTCAAAAGGTTGTCTCAGACCTAATTTTGACAACAATCATACATCCATTATTAATATAAACTATCGACCACAGTCATTAGGCCGACTGAATTGTTACCTGTGTCGGAGTACGGTCGAACAGTAATTTCAAACACTGACAATGCGACTTAGATATCCATGTACAGGATTGTGTGCACTAAAAATCCCATTCTATGCACGCCTCTTGCATGTGTTGGTGGTGGAACATCTTTCTATTTAATGCATCACTACGCTCAGTTGACACTAAAAAAACGTTTGCTTGTTTTGTACATACTAAAATGTGTTTTTGTGTCGCACAGGTACGACAAAAGTCAACAAGGAAAGTATTTGCAATGAAGTTATTGAATAAATTTGAAATGGTAAGTTGAACAAGGCCAATGCTATTTTATGTAGAATGCTGCCCTCGGAGTCAGAACTGAAGTTGCAAGTCACAGAGAAAAAATTCCTGAATCTTAACGCATTTACATTTTGTGCAAAAACTACAGTCAACATATTATTCTGTATTTTTCATCACTTAGATCAAGAGATCTGATTCAGCATTTTTCTGGGAAGAGAGAGATATCATGGCACATGCAAATAGCCAGTGGATATTACAGGTTTGTATGACATTTAATATTTTTGTTATAGACCAATCAGGTTTCATTTTCTGCAACACTGACCAATCAGATTTTAGTTTCAGAAATACCGACCAATCAGGTTTCATTTTCATCAACACTGACCAATCAGGTTTTAGTTTCAGAAATACCGACCAATCAGGTTTCATTTTCATCAACACTGACCAATCAGGTTTTAGTTTCAGAAATACCGACCAATCAGGTTTCATTTTCATCAACACTGACCAGACAGATTTTAGTTTCAGAAATACCGACCAATCAGGTTTCATTTTCATTAACGCTGACCAATCAGATTTCATTTTCATCAGCACTGGCCAATCAGGTTTCAGTTTTATCAACAATGACCAATGAGATCTAATATCAGTAAAAGACACTGGTAGCATAGTGGTTGTTGCACCAGACTCATGATCGGTAGACCCAAGTTCAAATCCTACCTTAGGCTGAACATCAAAGGGTCGACCCCTACCCTGGGTGAGTGTGCCACAGACTCAATGGGCAATCCAATTCCACTGGCTGAGATTCATTCACAAACGAATGCGACTTTGGGGGAACCTTGGTTAAGGTCCGCAGGTGCTTGTGTTCGACCGGGCCTGGTTGACACCAGGATAGCGCATTACAAATTGCCATTTGACAGAGAGATGGCCACACAGCCCTGTCATGTAGTCCCAAACATGAATATGAATTCTGTGGCAAAATGCACTATATGTCGTCACTAGCACTTGCAATTTGCACATACAGAAAAATTTGAAAAAAAAAGAGAAAAAAAAAAAAAAAAGAGTGCCATAACTTTTGATTTCACCTCCACTACTTTTCCTGATAGAGAGCGCTATAACATTATTTGTTTTCTCAGCTTCACTGTGCGTTTCAAGATGCTAGATATCTATTCATGGTGATGGATTACATGCCAGGTGGCGACTTAGTAAACTTGATGAGTAATTATGATGTGCCAGAGAAGTGGGCAAGATTTTACACTGCTGAAGTGGTGCTAGCGCTTGATGCTATTCACTCTATGGGATATATTCACAGGTACTGTATTGGTCTTCTCATCCAGCTCATGATTGGCTGTTTTTTGGCCATCCCTTTTTTAGCCACTCTTCGGCCATCTGTGAATGTACTCGGTTGAATCTTCTCTGGGTTTATTCTGGCTTCAACTATCTATGGTCTTATATCTGTGTTGGTCATCTATGCATACTGTAAAATATATTTTAGCTGGAATTAATTTTCACTGAAAAGACTTTTTGGGTATTTTGTATGGAATTTATTTTCACTGATTCCTGACGAGTTGAATGTAAAATATAGAAAAAAAGGTATATTAGCTGGATTTTATTTTCACTGAATCAGCCCTTCAGCGAAAATAGCGAAATTTAATTCCAAGCGAAAATAAAGTATTTTACAGTATATCATGGCTTTGACTATGTATATTCAGTTTTAAACTATTTTTGGACATAAGTAGGCCTTAGCCATGCCACAGCTTTGGTAGTCTTTGAATATTTCTCGGCTTCAGCCAACATGCAAATTATGCATACATGTATGTACCCCGGTAATTACTTTCTTTGATGACCACCGCTTTCAAAATATTTTCATTTTCAGCAAAGACAAACACTTTTTTGTTGACTTCATTCTTATTTCTCAACAGGGATGTCAAACCAGATAATATGTTATTAGATGTTAGTGGTCATTTAAAATTAGCAGATTTTGGTACATGTATGAAGATGGACAAGGTAAAATAGCACAGTTAACATTACGTTCTCCCAATTCTATCCCTCAGTACTGAGCCTCCACCCCTTCTACTCACAATGGATTCACTCGTCATGTGTCTCTATTTCACCAAACATAGTGGTATAGTGCAGCAGTGTCTGTCCTCAATATTGTCGTCGTCATTGTTAACTTCTCATATTGTTAATATATAGAACAATTTCACATCGTATAGCATTGAAATATTTTATTTTGACCACTCTGCATGTAGTATGTTGAATACAAAGTTTGTTTAGTCCATGTTCACAATGATATCCACTTTTGAATATTTTTTTACCTGATATTAGTGAACATTTTTTTTTTCATTTGTAGGATGGTATGGTAAGATCAGATACGGCTGTGGGAACACCAGATTACATATCTCCTGAAGTTTTAAAATCACAGGGTGGTGACGGATATTATGGGAGAGAATGTGATTGGTGGTCAGTGGGTGTATTTATCTATGAAATGTTAGTTGGTAAGTTCATAACTCCACTTTCTCTTTTCCAGTTTCCTACTTCCTGTTTGAAAAAAACTCAGTGAAATTGTTCATTTACAAAATTTCTAGATTTTCTTCAATTCATGACAATTTTTCAAAT